CTCGATTTGCCTGTGCGCCGCATGGCATGCACGCGCATCATGCGCGCTGCGCGGTGCGGCGCATGTGCGCGCTGCAGCGCATGCCGATGCGCCGCATGTATGGTTCAAACACACAGGGGTCGACTTGGTACTGTACACGGGTGAGGGCAAGGTCTAGGGATCGAGCCCTGGGATCTGCATCTGCTACCGTAAAGGTAAAGACCGTTTTAGTTGCTGAATGCTCCATTACAGCAGTGGGAACTGTCATCCACCTGTCACTGTGTCACATGATTTTTCCTTTTTTCTTTAAGGCATCATTCCTTTGTTACCAGGCACTGAATGTCACGATTCGATTTCCATCCTCCAAAGTCCACCCCTCAACAAAAAGGGAAATAATTCAAATAATAAAAATCTGAAGGGCAAACCCTAATACTTAGTAGGCTACCGTTGACTCACCATGGCTGGCGTCAACTGCACAACCTTCCCCGAATGGTTGACGGTCCGGTCACACTGAGCGAGAATAATTTCACTTGCTCCTTTCCAATGCGCTCTCATTATCCCATCTACTGTCTAGTCACACACATTCATGCCACATGTCAAGACACCAAATGTTTTAGTGTACATGAGGGTCCAATTAACAAAGCGGAAAGGTCTCAAGCGGATTAGTTCCAAGAGGAAGATTGGAATAGATTCCTCAGTAGGACCAATATCAGCACCATTATCAGAGTACTCAGGAACAAAAGAAAAAAAGATAAACATTTTAAAGTTTAAAACAGTTTTATCGGGTAAAGCGAACGATTTAAGGGCGATGGCGTTGAGATATCAGCATTGCATTGACCAATCCCAGACAATTAATAATTATTTGATTCTGCTCATCTGGTTGCATCTTGATTCAAACTCAGGTCTGCATTTCAACAGTTCATGGGTGTACCGACTGAGCTAGGCCAGTTGTTCGCTCGGCCTATTCCTAAACTTTAAATAGGTGAGATTTCAAAGTGCAAGGAATACAAGTGTGAACGATATACAGAAAACCAAGTTGCGAAATCACACAGATGTCCCAGTAGTCGTGTCCAAGCAGAGAGTACAAATGCACCGAGAAAACCATCCTAGAGCAATACTATGAAGTAATGAGTCAATGTCCAAGCCCGTAGGCCACACCAACACGTTTTAGCAACTTTAATTCCTGGAGCAGGGAACAAACCAAAGTCGTGGAAGCAACTAAGAAACTCCTGGAGGAGCCCATCGGTGACCTGGCTGTTAATTGGGCGGGCAGTCAATCCCCTCGTGAGAGGGCAATCAATGTTGTTCTGCCAGGTATACTTTCTCTGATGTTGTCCGTGGGACGCTGGACCCGGTTTCCAGCAGTTGATGCTCCCCACCAATAGATTGGAACCATCTATAAACTAGGGCTTGCTATTGGAGGATGTCTGTATCACCTCCAATAGTAGGCTGCCACAAGTGTTTTGTCAAAAGAAAAAAGAAAAAGAAAAAAAAAAAAAAACTAGAAAAGGTGGCCATTGGTAGCACACCATAGCAGACTTTTAGGTTTTGATCTGGTCGATGGAAATGAAATGTATAAAAAAAACAGGCCAAATCGTGCAGCATTGAGTTTTATTACGTGTCAAATAAAAATTTTCGATGAATGAAATACGTGGCAAATAATCAAATTTTAAAAATCCACGGAATTTCAAATGAACCTGTGGCAACTCCCCACGAATTTCCTTAATGAGGTGTTTTTTTTTTTTTCCAAAGAAAATACCCACCACTGAAAGATACTATCCCTTTCTTTCTTCCATAGATAAGAAAGATTCACAGCTAATGGTGACGTCCCATGGATTTCCTTAATGGTGACATCTGTTGGTTAGCTGTCAATTTGTTTTTCTGTTTCCTTTTTTTTTTCCATTGCAAGACTGGCATTTCCAAACAGGTATTGATTTGTCGTGCCACCACTTTGTTGTGCTGATTGCCTACTGTCTTCACCCGAATAGAACGTACGGTTGTCATGGCTGTATGTAGACTGAAAGTTGCATTAAATGCATCTACAATGACCGTACGCTCTATCAAGAAAGACGGTAGCTCTCTGCATGCCTCTGAGGTCAGGTGGCATGCCTAATCACTTAATGAACACCAAAGATAAATAATCAACTAGCTTTAACGGGAGAGTGACCATCGCGTCTAGAGACAAGCTACACTTTTCCATTCCTCTCGTCGCAACAACACAGCTATGGCGGTGAAATGGGATGGGCCTGGTGATCCCAGGCCTAAGATAGAATAGCCCTGCAAGCCCAGTAGGGTCAAGCACAACTTCTGCAGTATCAGGGAATGCTCCAAGACACTTCGGCACTGCCCTAGCTTTCCAGGGGCGCCCGGCCGGGCGCCCCGGGCGCCTCGCCCAGGTAGGGACCTCGCCCGGGGTACCCCGGCCATGAAAAAAATCCACTGAAATGTTTTTTTTTTTTTTTGGGTCTGTGGGGCCTTGCTGCCCTCTCCTAATACTCCCCAAATCCGGCCTCATTGTTTTTTTCAGGCATATCGGTTTCAGTGTGTCGGTGGGGGGTGGGGGGTAGGGGAAGGGGGTGCAGGAGCAGGGTAGATTAGGGGTTGTCCGTTTTGCAGG